ATTTTTATATTTTTTTTTCTCTATTAGATTTCTGTCTCTGTAGATACCTTTTGAGGGAAGAACAATCCAACTTATTAGTTAATTTGTAGTACTAAGGTTTCTATTTCTGGTTTGTTCTTTTTTAATAAAATAAAAAGAGAGCTACTTTTTGTAGCTTTTTTTTATTTAGGTATCTGTTAAGAAATATATATATATATTTTGTAAAATTTACCTCTTTTAATTAAAATTTCAAAATTTTTATGTTATATTTACTTTTTAATATTTAGTATTTATTTTATGAATAAGAATGATAAAATAATAATTTTATTTATGCTTTGAAAAAGGAATAAGAAATATGATTTCGTTGTTTTCAAAATTTTTACACAATCGTGAAAACTCTTATTAAAAATGAACTATATATAGAAATTGTTACCTAGATGCATATGTTTCTAAACGATTGGAAAGGGGGGATTGAACTTAATCCATGATCGGATCAATCATTTATCCATTTAAATTAAAATTATCCTCAATTTCTTAAACAACTATATATATATATATTTTTAAAATTTTCTTGTTAGATGATTCCCTCAACCTTTTGTTGGAGAGAGATGTTAGCGATTATAAAGGACAAAAAGTCCACACCAGAGGAAGTAAGAAAAGGACATGAAAAGAAAAGTTAAAAAGAGGAAAATATACTAAATAATTCTAATTGGTTTCCAGAAAAAGAATTATAATTTTACAAGCAAATATTTTAAATGGAATGAGACTTCCATCATCAAAGAGAATGATGACATTAGTGATAACAAAAACAAACCATGGTGTTCCTAACTTGCAAGTTTCATCTTATGGAAAAGAGGTTGGAATGATAGATATATTACATCCAAACAAAAAAGATAAATTTATAAAAAATAAATAAATAAATTTCTGAAAATGAACTTAGTTCAACAGTTAATACACTTTACTCTTTTTCCAAAGGTCGGATGTTCCATCTCTCATCTCTACATCGGTTGGTTACAAAAAAAAAATGAAAAAGAAAAACAAAACCTCGAGTTTTCTGTTTTCAAAATTTAAACTTACAATAATATATTTACTTTCTTTTCTTTAAGGTTCTCATATTTTTAAAACTAAATTTGAAATTTTAGTCCAATTTTAAAAATAAAAATAGGTTTTCTGAGATTACAAACTGATTTTGGTTTCTCATTTCTTGTCTCTTATTTGTTTGTTTCTTCTTTGCAATAGTAGTTGTTTCTTATTTTTGTTCTTTTATTATTATTATTAAAAAATGAAACCGAAACACGTTTGATAGTCATTTAGGGTTTGTTTGGTAATGTTCACGTTTTTTATTTCTTGTTTCCTCTTTTTTTCTAATAAAGAAAAACATAATTGCATTTAGTAACTATTTCTTATTATCTATTTATTTATTGAAAAAAGAAGGAAACTATTTTTTGTTTTT